CCCTTCTTTCTAACCACCATGCAGCAGTCATACATATTATACAATGCGTGTTCCAGAACACCCGAGATCTGGATAAATTCAATTCGCTCGAGCATAAGCATTGCTTCTACCGCATTTTGAGGACAGAGTAATATGCGTCTTTTTTAGTGATGTTGAAAGGGTATAGCGAATGCACTGGCAAATTTATGAAGGACTTCGCATACTCTGCTCAATCGCTTCCCCTCTAACAGGGACGGAGACTTGCATTTAAACCTAATCTGACTATGCTGCTAATCAGTCTGGTTTTAAGTATATTCGTATGCTTGCTATTATGGCAATTAATGAGAAAAAATTTTTCATTTGAAATAATGAATTATTTTCATTAAATATTTTAATTAAATAATACAATTGAAATTTTACATTAATTGAATTATTGCTTTCATCATTTTTATTTATTTAGTTTATTTTTTTTTTCTTATTTTACAGTTTTGACAAACATTTGGTTGTTTTCCTCGACTGCAGTTTATTGGGTTTTTCTCTGCATATTTCGTTTAATTTTTTTTTTTTTATGGTAAGTTACTGGAGCAAAGACCTGAATTATATTTTTGTAGTTTTAATTATTGCCTAAATAAGATTTAATTAAAGCATTGTTAACAATTCAATGGCATGTTGTGTCATTTTCTCAATGATATAAAATAATTAAATAAATTTGTAAAGTAATTTTTATTATAATTATTGTTGTTGTTGTTGTCTTTTTTACTGTTCACTCGACAACAAGATGAATATAATAACTGTCTGTACAAGTTAGTATTGCTCATGCTTTGTAATTGTGAAATGTGGGTTGATAAGTCATCAATGGTAGACAATGTCATTATTATTAAAGGCTTGGTAATAAAACAGAAATGATTTTTTTGTCTTGAATTCAAATGAAAGCCAACTTTACCGAATAGCAACAAATTGATTAACAAAATTTTAATAAATCACAAGCCCCTGACTTGCACTTTCGTAATGTAGAAGAGAGGACTTTTACGCGTGCGTACATAAACTTCCTTAAAATTGTATTGGTTTTTGATAGCTCTAGTTTTTGAGAAACGCTAAAATTCGTTTTAAACGGGGAAGCATCTGAAATTTTTGACTTTGAGGCGTAAACACCTTACACCACCCTACAGTTATCCATTTACTGGCATTTCAAAACAAGAGGTTATATCAGAATTAGTCGAAAAACTGGTCCGATTCGGAATATTTTCAATGGGGTTTGTCCTTGCGTCAAAAAAGGTCAGTGTAATAAATTTCGTCAAATTATACCAAAAATTGCGGGCTGTAAGGTGAAGAACAAGATAGGCAGGCGGGTAGACAGACAAACTTGTGCCGCCAGTGGTGCAAGATATAAGAACAGAAACATGACTACAAGACTGTAATTAAGTCCGAGCAACCGATATGAGGGAATACTTATTACGATGACCAAAGCCCCGATTCTTGTCTTGTTGTTTACCTGTCAGGCTCATTTAATTACTCTGCTCTTTTATATATGAGCTCAATTTTATTAATAGCAGGTAAAAACAATAAAGTCGGGTCATTGTTAGGGGTTCAGGAAGCCTCTTCCAATTTTCCGAAATGATCAATGTTTCGCTTTAAATTTAAACCAATAGTATGCTAGCAATCTAAAGAAAGTTGTGAACGGTGAAATTGTTCAAATAAAATTCATTGACTTTATTTATTGCCCCGTCTTTAATCCCGAGTTCTATAGCATGTACGAACAAGCAACGGATTCATATGTTGGAAGTTAACCTCTAAATTTCATATGTAAATCATAATTTTAAACAAGTTTTACAAACGAAAACAATTCGACTGACCATTAGCAATGAACGACTTATACATATGTACACCAACAGTTACAACTAAACAAAAGAGAGAGCTAGCAAGCTCTGATAATGAAATTAATCTAAAAATAAAGAAAAACATCTTGAAAAAAATGTTATTAAAGAAAACAGAAGCAAAAAAAAAAAAATAAGAGCAACGGTCGTTGCTCATGTTTATGATGACTGTTATTACAAAAGTCGCCTTTTGCTTTCATTTTCATAACAACACAATTACAATTACAATTGGTAGCAGTGCACTTTGAATACAGGCTTTTACTTGCAAGTTATTAGATCAGATATTATATCCGTTTATAAGGCAACTGCACTTATATGAATGTGATCGCTGCAATTACAATTTACGACCTTTCCATGCGTGCATTCCACTGACAAACTAAACCACGTAATGAATTTAAAAATGAAAGTGATCTCCTTTTATTTCGAGGTAATGCAATTGTTGACTTCGTTCATATTAGAAATCTCAGTTACATATTCCTGTACATTATTCAGCGACAGTCAAGTTGGTAATGATCACCGCAAGTGATTTCATTGTTTTGCTTTTTGCCTTTTTTCATCTAAATATTGAAAAATTGAACGGGATTTACTACTAGATACGAAAACTATATTTATACGAAAGACATGCCGTGAATTCATTTCAATCTCTTATTCAACCAACGATATTTTGTTTATCATTTCATCTGAGTCATTTCAAATATTTCTTTTGAAGGTCAATAATGAAACCATTGTAAAACTCTTTGTTATGCTTCACGTTTTTGCAATCATGTTTGCAATTGACTTGTTGTCTGTAATAGATGTGAAACCTATGATTCATATCTTAAAAATTGTTTTTATGATATTTTTTACTCCTTGCAGGCCTCACCATGACACAAAAGCAATTGCAAATTTTATTTATTAGTATTGGTATATGCCTGCTTTTGTTTATCAGCTCCGTAAGTAGCCAGGAAAAATGGTCACGTCAAATATCGGAGGCAACGGAATCCGGTGTAACCAATGATAACTACGATTGGATACCTTTGCCTCAATCGGCGGACAATTCGTCGAGGGATCGTTCTTCTAATGGACGAGTGCTAACCTATTCACAATCCTTCCCCCCTGACGGACATTTCGCAGATTTATCGAGAGCTATTAATAATGCTGCCGTTTCCTCGAAATCTTCACCGTTTGACTTCTCTTACGCCCCATTTCGAAGCTTATCCAATTCACCTCAAACACAGTCATTACGGCAACAGCCAAGTCCACTATCAAAAGCAAATAATCTACAGCCTCAAGAGCCAACGTCACAATCGTTTTTCAAATTTGAAATGCCATTAGGTAATGCAAATAATCGTCCAGCAAATATTGCATCCGGTGTCAATACTGGCTATAATATACAACATGCTTTTGGTGGCGGTGGTCAAGCTACTTTATTTAATTCTCCGTTATTCAATCAACAACCCATTTTTCCCCCTGAATTTCATCCTTTGCCACAAAAACCGACAGCGCAATCTTTACAGCGCAGACCTTCACATCATCAAAACTTTGTGGAAGATCCTATTAGTTTAAATAATTTCTTTAAAGACACGAAGCCCACCCAATCACCGTTGCAATCTGTGACGCCTCAAGTATTCCCAGTGGAACCTCAACCACCGGAGCAATCTGTATTGCAGCTTAGTAAACCTTCGACATTCCAATTTAACCCTTTGCCTACAGCTCCAGTTCACTCCGTACCTTCTTCTGTCCCCCCAGTGGGATTAAATAACCAGCAAGCCGATGTCCAGTATCTGTACGTGCCCTTTGAAAGTTTATACAATCAGCAACAGCCAGTGCAACAAACATATAGTCAGCAACCACAATCTTATGACGTTCCCGCAAAATACAATAATAATCCAGTTTTTACTACAGTGAATCCATTTCATATTAATCAATTTTATACGCCGGAACCGGTAATACCATCACAACCTCGTCGACCAAACGTTTACACCACCAGTACTACAACAACAACCACTTCTACCACTACAACCACACAAAGACCGCGAACTACCACCAGAAAACCTACTAATGTTTATGAAAATTATCTTAAGTCTCAGACCACTACACTAAAACCTAAGCCTAAGGCCCATCAACCCCCGTTGGCTATGTTTTTGGTTCGCACCTCGTCTCGTCTATCAGAGAGCCAGGTGGTGGATACATTAAAAAATGCCCGCAGTATCGCTGTCGTTGACGCTCCAAATTCCAATACTCCAGCGATTTTTGTGGGTCCAGGCGGTATGCCCACTCCGAATGGTTACACAAAATTCGAATTACCTTATCTTTCGCAGCTACAAGGTGCCCAAAATCTAAATGATGTTCCATTCTACGTAGCTCCTCTAAGCTATCGCACACCTCCAGGATTTAGCAAAATACTGTTGCCGGAACCTCACGTGGGCTCCATAGTTATTAATTTGGCGAGGGCAAGTCCTCCTGCACCACCACCGCCACCGCCACCACCAAGAGTGCAAAATCAACCTCAAATGCAACCTGTATCACCAGTACATTCGAATATTTATTACAGCTTCCCTCAACAGAATCTTTTAGACGAATACACCAGTAGCACCTCACGACCTAAGACTACAAGTCAACGTACGAAGATTCCAAATCGTGGCAACAAGGTTAGCTATTACTCTGAGGTGGACCCCATTTTGGAAGTATCTTCTCCCAAAATATCACCAAAAGAACGTCCGAAGAAAAAGAGACCACAGAGTAATAATAATGAACAGCAATTAGTGTATAATCAACATCCAAATAATCCCTATGCTCAATTTAATCCAATGCCTAATCAAATAAGCGACATCAAATACTTTAAATTACCTGTTAGTAGACCTAGTACAACATCCTCTACATCCACCAGCACCACTACTAGCAGCACAACAACTTCAACTACACCGGCTCCTCAGACTTATTTCATTTATAATACTAGTCCGGAAGTAGAATATCATAGTACGAGAGGTCATTTGAACCCGCAAAACAATCAGGTTGTTCAAGAACAATACAAGCCAGCTTTAACTACGTCACCTCCACAAACACCCCAACCTCAAAATAATTACGATTATCAAAATAACCAAAACATCCAACAACAATATGACCCCCCTTTAACTACTCTACCACAATACCAAAGTACAAGAGATCAATTTAATAATCAAATCGCTCAAGAAGAACGTAAACCTCATTTAAGCGCTGAGATCCCTCAAACACCGCCACCGCCACGGTATTCCCAGTACGAAATAAGTGACTCTTCAAATACCCAAAGTAATCAAGTCGAGCAGAATGAATACAAGCCGCGTTTAACAACCCCGCCAAGTCCGGTAGGTAGTATAACACCGGAAGAGGAATATCGCATGAAACAGTATTTCCGACAACAGGATGCTTTCCGGAATCGTCCGAAAATTATTCCAACAACGACACCCGCTTACGAGCAGGAACACTATACACCTCAAAACTTTGAGTACGCCGCTACACAAAGACCTCCCAGCACTACCACTACAACGACAACTAAGCGACCACGAATAACTTTCTATAGTCCTACTTCTGCGCCTGAGATAAATGACCAATTTAGTACACTGGCCCAAACCTCAGATCAAAATAATTACAATATACCTGCGAACCATCGACCTGCATATAACCAAAATGAAGTAAGCGATGGTCCCGTAGAATATGATCCAAATCCCTATCAATTGCCGTCGGAATTGCCTCCTTTAACTCCAAATTTGCCCGGTTTAGTCAATAATTTGCAAGAAAAAGGCAAACAAAATAACGTAGAGCAAAATGCACCGACGTCTTCAGAGCCCACACGGCCTACACGCAGACCTTTTAATCGGCTACGTAAGCCTGTCGCTACGAAAATAAGTTCCTCAGTTTCTTATTCCGAAACAGAAAACACGAATAGACGACCGGCCAACAGACTTAGACGACCGTATGGCACCAAAGCTTCAGCTTACATTAATACAGAGGACACGGCCGCCACGTCTACAACTACGACGAGACGTCCAAGCGCCTCGCGAAAGCCACTGATACGGAATCCTAATCGTATACGCTACCAGCCGACACCGGAAGAACGTGAAAGCTTAAGATTGAAACCTAAAAAGCGATACAAGGGCTCCGCCAAGAAACAGGAAAGCGAAGATTTAGACTACCAACGTGACGTTCTAAAACAAAACTATCCTATCTTTAGACCTTCGACACGAAGAACTACTACCACTCCAGAACCTCTCACTAGCTACTCCGAAATCACCACTGAAGTTCCTGCATCGGAGTCGCAACAAATTTACACAGTAACACCCGGGAATAATATTGACAACGACAACGAACAAAATTTCCCGGCAGGCCTTTTAGAACCCATGCAAATTGCTCAACAATATAATCATTACACTAATAACTACGGCCCGGGTTATTTCCCGAATCAAGAAGATCTAAACCCTACCGAATCAATATATAAGAATGAAATTAATCCCGCATATGCAACCACTACGCAAGACTATACTACAACATTTCGAACGACTACAACAACCGCAAAAACTACCGAAGCTCCACCAGAGGAAACAACGTTAACAACCACAAGACGTTCTCCCTTTATACGCAGAAATTATCCAAGAATACGAACAACAACGGAAACTCCTACCACTACAACCCAAGCTGAGGAAGAACGATATCTGGTAAATATAATAAAATTATTAATAAATCAAATTTGGTTTACATTTTTTGCAATTGTTAGATACGGCCGCGTTTACCACCACGGAAAGTGGTAAGAGTACGTGCTCGCACACGACGCCCTTTGCATCCAGCGTCGTCGACCCCATCAACAGAAGAGGAGAACGAGCAAGGTGAAGAATCAAAACAAACCTACCGCAAAACAAATCGTTACAATCAAGGTTCAACGGATAACGAGGTAAACAGTTCTAAAAAGGGAATAAACATAGTATTATTTTAAACCTTGAAATATTTACAGCCACCAAGACGTCGCTATAAAACTAGATTTCAATTAGAGGCTCAAGAATCGCAATGGTCTCCTGCTGTAAAAGTCGTCTCATCTAGTAACTTTAAGCCCATTAATCCTAAAGAATATCCAGTAAATAAACACAAGTTCGAGAATGAGCCTGACATAGTTACGGTGGATCCCAAAGAGGAAAATGAAAATTACGAAATTAAAGTGTCAGCGAATTATGGTTCAAAAAGCGGCATCAACACACACGGCTTAAGAGGGCCAAGTCTTAGGTAATTGTTCTTTTTATACCCTACACGCAGAAGAACTTAAAAATGGACCAACATTTTATTATACCGATCTGCCTGCGTGTCCGTCTGTCCGTCTGACCAGCGTCCATGTAAATTTGTATTTAAGCTTTAAACAGCAATTTTCGAGATATTTTCATGAAATTTCGTACAGTGACCTGTTTTGACCCAAAGACGAACGCTATTGAAAATGGTTTGGATCGGTTCATTTTTTCCATCACTCCCTATATAATGCCCTATTCTGAAAAGTCGTTACATGAAATAAAATTGCAATCTTCGAAACTTCTTGACAAAAGTGAGTAGGTAGTACAATTTCGGCATTCTGAATTGGTACGAAAACTTTACACAAGTTGGGGCAATTTTTAAACCCCCTCTTATATAACGAAGATTGAAGTACTTACGACAAAAAGGTGTAATTTTCAATGCTTCATAATGACAATTATATCAATACACAATATTATATATAATAATAGTAATTTAACATAAAAGAATTGGTTGTACCAAATTCGGCGTTCATTTTGGACTCTACCCTAATACATATTTTCATGAAAATTGATCTTTTATAGGGCAGGAAAGTCTAAGTTTTAATATGTGGTAATGAAAATTGGCCCATAATAGGAATTTCATACAAGAATAAGGATTGTGTTAAACAATCTGGTGTAAGGTATATAATGATCGGCTGTGCCCGACTATAATGTTCTTACTTTTTTTTTGTTGCTTACGTGGGAATTTTAATTGCTTTAACTTAGACCTGAGAAATCTTTTGCTGAACTTCTTGAAGAAGTCATGGGGAAAGCACCCGGCGAAAAGCTTACAGAGGCTAAGAGTAACGATGAATCAGCGGACGGTTCTATCTTTGAATCACAAAGAAACTCGATTGCCGATCGCATATATCCGAATCGTCGCGGTAAATGGAAAAAAGTTCGTGTCTCACTAGCACCAAGTAACAATGAAAGTTTCGAATTGGCTGAATCTCAAAATTTAGGTTCACAACTAATTAACTCAATACCCACTAGCGGAAAACCTATTACAGTTGTAGATTTAAATAAAGATTTAAAGATTACAACACCCATAACAGCTACAGTGGATATAAATAGAGTAACAACAATGATAAATACTACACCTATTTCGGTGCAGGCAAAGGTAGAAGAGAAAAGTGAGTACAGCAGTCAAACTACAGAAAAAGCAGAGAACTTTACTATGGAGCCTACGATTTTGGCAAAGGAAACAACTACCACGGAGAACCTGTCCGAAATCGTCGGTCAGGAAGAAATTGCTACACGCCGGATGGATGAAGATAGCAAAGAAGAGGATTTAGAAATTCAACCTAGCTTATTTTCGGAGGTAAAAAAGCAATTGCATGAGCTTTTCTCTATCGAAGAAGAAAGCGATGATAGCGCTGTGACGGCGGCTCTAACAGCCGTAAGTAAACGACGCCAAGAGTATACTCATATTAAGAGGGTAAAACCCGAAACTACGGTAGCACCGACGACAGAAATTCCTAATTTCAACAAGCCGATGACACCAGAAGAGAGACAAGCGTTCCACAAACAATTAATGGAACATGTTATATATGCAACATCGCAGCCCGCGATTGAACAAACCTCGGAAGCAGAAATCTGTTATAGAGGGCGTTGTATAAAATCTGATGATATACCAGCCAATCATAAGATAAATTAACGCGAAGGAAGAGCTTAGAAAAAAGAATAAACGAGAGAAATCTGAGATTTGTGATAAGAATACTTATAGAGAAAAACTATGCAGCTGTCTCTCCCAGCATATAATTTTCTATCTCTTTCTTTTCCTCTATTTTTCTTTTTATGCCACTGCCAGCTTATTACTCTATACCCTTGCACTCTGAGTCATGTTCTGGAACACTTTATAAATAACTACTATTGTAATTATTATTATTTAGTTTTAATTTAATTAAATTCACATAAATAAACTAAAATTAATTTGTAAGATAAAAAAAAAAACACAAATATTTTTTAGTTTATTTAAATTGAGTGAAAAGAGAGCGAATTCGCCTATTGAAGTTATCTCATCTTTTTTATACTTTCTACAACTCTCTAGTTTAACACATCTTTGTCACTTTATCTTCTCTAATAACAAAATAAATATTTTAACTTAAGTTAGCTTACTTTTAATAAATTAAGTTTGTTTTGTAATATAACGTAAATTGTTTGTAAACTTAAAATTAATAATAATGAAAATAAACGAAATAGTAAAATAAAAGCGATTTATGGGAGAAAATTTGTTTATCGATGTAATACAATCCCTCAACTGGGTTATCTTCTCGTCACCTTTGTTTGTTCTAAAATTTATATTAGCCACCCTATTAAAATTGAAAGCTTTACTTCTCATTAACCTTTTACCAACGATCTGGAAAATTGAACGGAATCCACCCCTCTAGTGGTTAAGGTGAATTACTTTTATATTTTACGCCATAAGTCAAGCTCTTTTCAGCATTTCACAAATATGCGCTCAACTCTTCTTTTAAAAGGCACTTGTGTGTCTTAGAATACCGTGTAAAATAAATCGTGTAAAAAAATACGCTCGACATAAGGTGATCTTGGGATAATTTTCCACAACTTTATAAAATCCAAATATTTTCCAAAACACCGTGAAAAGGATAATAATAAAATAGATATTACAGTTTTATTAAACAAACATAATTCATATTTATAACAAAAAAAAAAAAAAAAACAAAATTAAAAT